ATATTAATCCCCCCAATTCGCTACACCAGAGCGTATTGGTGGCTGACTGTGTTCCAAATCCTGAGAGTTTATCGTATTGTGTTAGCAATACCAGTGACAAGGGAACTTATTCTCCTCGTTTTGGGCAATGCCGCTGGTATCGGAAACCTGATGTTCTTTGTGTTTCTGATGACATTTTTGGTGGCGATTTTTGCTGCGCAGTTATTCAGAGGCGAAATTCCCGTGTATGAAGATGGCGAGCTCAATCGTATCTCGTTCTACACCATTTACAACTCCTTCTTGGGCATGTACCAAGTTCTGACAAGTGAGAATTGGACAGATATTCTTTATACTGTCACCTCCTACACTAGGCACAAGAATACCTCATGGATAGGGGCAATTCTACTCATTGGCTGGTTCATTGTGGCTTTTTTCATTCTCATCAACATGTTCATTGCTGTAATTCAGGAGAACTTTGATGTATCCGAAGATGAGAAACGGCTTCAACAAGTCAAGGCTTTTCTTCAAAGGCGAGACCTTGGAGCTTCATCTAGCAACCTGGCCCTTTCTACAATCTTTGGCCTGTCCAAACATCGCAAAAATAAGGATCCCCTCGACTACGGGCCAGCAACAGTCGAGATGCTTCTCAAGGATGCCGTGGTCCGCGAGTTCCTGGATGATCAAATGAATCCTAAATCTGAGGAGGACCGGCTGCACCATGCCCCTATTAGAAGCGCAACTACGTTGTTGGGTGGCGAGATCAAACCTGGCCGGCTCTCTGCCATGTGGGGAAGGGTGAAAGGGTGGTTCAGCGACAAGGAGCCCAACCCCTTTTATTCAAGCTTACGGTTTGACGGCGCGAACGATACCTCAGATCCTCGACAAATGGCTGAACAGGCAATGTCTGCCAGTATGACTCGAAAGAGGGCTCAGCGAGAGTATCTTGCGAAGTACCCAAATTACAATACCTCCTTGTACATCTTTTCACCAAACAACAGCCTGCGCCGGCTTTGTCAGCGGGTCGTTGGTCCTTCTCGGGGTATTGAGCGCATTGATGGTGTAGTGCCTGACACCCTCCTTTGGTACTCTTTCACGATATTCATTTATGCAGCAATCGTGGCTATGGTCGTCCTTGCATGTGTTACCACTCCTCTCTATCAGAAGGAGTACCAAGAGCAACATCAGTTCAGTATTAGGAATTGGTACATCTGGACAGACATGGCTTTTGCTATTGTGTTTACTGTCGAAGCTGCGATCAAGATCATTGCGGACGGACTCCTGTGGACCCCAAATGCATACTTGCGAAGTTCCTGGGGATTCATGGATTCAGTCGTTTTGGTCACTCTGTGGATCAATGTTGTTACGCTCCTCATCAATGACGGCGCTATTTCCAGAGCAATAGGCGCATTCAAGGCGCTCCGTGCACTTCGACTGCTGAATGTTAGCAACAGCGCCAGAAACACCTTTCACGATCTCATTATCGTTGGTTGGTGGAAAATCCTAGGCGTGAGTTGCCATCTCCTCACCTGTAGCCGTGTTCCTCGCTAATTGCTTCCTTAGGCCGCGTTTGTCTCGATGTCTCTGCTCATTCCGTTTGCCATTTATGGTCTCAACCTATTTAATGGCTTACTTTTGTCTTGTAATGACGGTGGCGACGGAATTAATACCATGGATAATTGCTATGGCGAGTTCGAGAGCACACCGTTTAGCGACGACTGGCCAATGCTCGCCCCTCGTGTTGCAGCGAACCCCTTCTTCAACTTCGACGATTTTGGGGCATCTTTGTTCATTCTTTTCCAGATTGTTAGTCAAGAGGGATGGACAGACGTCTCTTTTGCTGTTCAAGCCATTACCGGTCGCATGAAGCAGCCCCAAGACCTAGCGTCAGAGGGCAATGCCATCTTCCTCGTCGTATTCAATCTGTTGGCCACCGTCTTTGTACTCACTCTCTTTATCTCTGTTTTTATGCGGAATTATACCGAACAAACAGGTGTCGCTTATTTGACGGCGGAACAACGGTCGTGGCTCGAATTACGAAAGATTCTCAGACAAATTTCACCTTCAAAGAGTTCTTACGATGATTCTGAGAAGAGCTGGAAGAAATGGTGCCACAAGAGAGCTATCGAGAAGAAGGGTAAGTGGTATCAGACAATTACCGTTGTTCTAGTACTACATTTGATCGTGCTTGTGTCGGAGTTCGCCAGTGAGCCATGGTGGTGGACAAGATATCGCGACTTTGTTTTCTTCGCCTTCATCGTTGCATACACGGCTAACATTGCAATTCGTATCATTGGCTTGGGCTGGGTACGTTTCCGACGAAGCTCATGGGATCTCTACTCTCTGTTCATTGTCTTCGGTGCATTTGTTTCAACTCTCGCGTTACTCATATCAGACACTGAGATTGAAACCTATGTTCAGCTACATAAGGTGTTCTTGGTCGCCATTGTACTCCTCCTCATTCCCCGTAACGACGCGCTGGACCAGCTGTTCAAAACGGCCGCTGCTAGTCTGACAGTTATTGGTAACTTGCTTGCCACCTGGCTGGTATTCTTCCTGGTCTTCGCGATTGCTATGACTCAAGCTTTTAGTTTGACACGATTCGGCGAAGAGACTGCGGAAAATATAAATTTCCGAACCGTCCCCAAAGCCCTGATTCTGCTATTCAGAATGAGTCTGGGTGAAGGATGGAATGCTGTCATGGAAGATTATGCCAGCATAGAGCCGCCACTTTGCGTTGACGAGCCTAGATTCTTCGACAGTGACTGTGGTAGCGAATCGTGGGCCAGAATCCTGTTCATCGCATGGAACATCGTCAGTATGTATATCTTTGTGAACCTGTTTGTATCACTCATCTACGAAAGCTTCAGTTATGTCTTCCAACGCTCGAGTGGCATGGCTGTTGTTGATCGCGATGAGATTCGACGGTTCAAAGAAGCTTGGCGAAGCGTTGACCCAGCAGGCACTGGGTATATCACCAAGGCAGCTTTCCCCCGTCTTCTTGGCGAGCTTTCAGGCGTCTTTCAGATGCGCATTTATGATCCGGAGGACAGCGTTCACTCTATTTTGGAAGATATTAGGGATGATGTGAAACTCACACACCACTCGTCCATCGCGACAACCAGCGGATTCAGTGGCATTGACCTGAACAAACTCAATGCACGATTGAGGAGGATTGACGTGGAGAAGGTGCGCCACCAGCGTCGGCGCTTTAACATTTTTTACGAGGAGGTCTTGGTGTCCGCAGATCCTGACAGGGGCATCTCTTTTACGAGTGTCTTGATGATTCTTGCTCATTATAACATCATCAGTGATAACAAGAGCCTGAAGTAAGCTGTCCCACCCGCCGCAATTCTATTCACCAAGGCTGACAAAAAAAAACGCAAAGACTCGAAGAGTTCCTAAGGCGTCGAGCTCGTCTCCAGCGAGTAGACGACCAAGTCCGACGTGGCGTAGTGTTGGGCTTCTTCGACACATTGTAAGCTATCTATAGCCGAACCCATGAATAGAGAATTGCTCACCATCAACACAGATATTATTCAAGACAATTCAAGAAACACATGCTACGAAAGCACTCGGCCCGCATGACGGCAGTGCCACAGCTGAACATTCCGGAGATTCTTGTTGAGAACGATCTGAGCGACGATGAAACAGGTGGAGCAGGGCCGAGATCTCCCCTCTCACCAGCCTCGCGTCCATCGAGTGTTGACGCAGGCGAGCCACGAAACTGGCTGGGATCTGTGGATCTATCGTTGCACGATACGTCGTGGAGTCATCCTCTCAGCTTCCCCAGAGCCGCGCCTCCATCGCCCACAACACCTGCGCAACCATCAGCCTTTAGCTTTGAGATCGAGGAGGATGATCCACATGAGCAACAGCAACAATCGACGACGCAAGCAAGATCGTCAGCGCCCTCGGGCCGTGAGAGCAATCATTTGGACCCCATTAGCCCTGTGCAAGTCCGTGGAATGCTTGACGACTCGGTTTGGGGCGAGAGTATTCGTCGCAACGCCACCGTTCGACAAACACAGAGCAGGGGCTCGCAAGGGTATGATGGTTTTCACTGAGGGGCAAGCGGTTGGAGGAGTTGAAGTTGCGGTTGACATGGAACTTGTGAGGAGGAGGGAAGCCGTCCAATTTTTATGGTGAAACAATGCGATCATGCACATCCATCAATGGAAGTTGCATTCAGGAAAAGTACTCATGGCATAATTCAAAACTGAGCACGGCGTTGCAGGGCAATTGATACATGAGCGAAGGGAAAAGGGGGGCAAGGCTACCCCCGGCATCCAGTTTCGGTCGATCAATATTCAAAATAGACACACATTTTTCATGCACAGAACGTTCAGGTAACAGGACGGCATCAGTGTAGCCCAGTGCGGTGATACGTACGAACAAGGTTGTGCGAGACTGGAGACCTGACGCTTGTCTGATCAACGGATGCCTGCGACAAAGCACCCTTGTTTCGTAATCCTGGTGACGTTCCAACTGAAAGTAAATTGATGGACAATGCGACTGTTTCAGCCGCTAGTTGTGAGGTTGAAACAATCCGTGCGCCCACATTCCGAGCCCCTGACACATTCTGATGCAAGGACTGTGGTTCTCTTTTCTACACTGCCACTTTCTTTTCTGGGTCTCGTGTCCGTTGTCGAGAGTGAATTGATGGATAAAGGTTAAGGTGGTGCCTCTCGCGTTTCCTGCTTTTGCTTGCTTTGTCTATCTTTGTGTTACCCAAAGAACCATCGTTCGCCCGCTCGCTCGTTTCTTGTTGACAAGACAAGACCAAGAGTCTGATAGAAACATTTGACAGGCTGTGCCTCTTTTTTATACCTCTTGAACTCGTTCACTCATTGAAAAATCCGGTCAATCATACGACAACTGCTGGACAAGTTGCTCGTTAGCTCTTTCGCCTCAACGACCATCGCGATCATTTGCACCCACGCCACGCTTATTACGCCAGTACCATACTTCACTATTACGCTTCAACACATTCACTCTCGGCTATTCTTACGCACTCTCATACAATGGCCCACACCTCCCGCTTCGAAACTATGACTTCTCGCTTCTCACCCTCACGTCTGCGCAACTCTCTGCGTCGCAGCTCATCAGCCTCCACCTCCACCCAGGCTTCCTACTCATCAGTCAGCACGGCAAGCTCGTCCCCTGTCGTTGCCATCAACAGCATCATCTCGCGACAGCCTTCTCTGTTGCATCTAGAGGCTGAACGCAAGAGCTTCGGCAGTGAGTTGAGCCTGCTTGAGCCCAGGCCCATTGTCTACTGGGGCAGCGTGGAGGAGCGCATCGGTTAACGTCTTTATACGCATGCTGCTTTAACATGAGATGTTGCTTTATGGTTTACGCGTTGAAGATTACAATTTCCGGGGATTTAATGTGGTGTTAGGCTTGCCTTTTGGATCTCTGGCAGGCCAAAATAGGGATTTTTCAGGAGACGGCGTTTGTGTGACTTATATGGTTGTTCTTCAATTCTTGACCGAGTGACAATTCGGTATGGCATCAAAGATGAATGATCTTGCCAAGTTTTAGATCCACATTCAAATTCAAACACAATCAGACCTTTAGTCCTCCATTGCTGTCTGAGACCCTCTAAGAAAAACAATCCATTATCATGATCATTACATTTCGTACAGTGTCATATCCTCGGGCACGAAATCAAGCAGGGGTTCGAAACGCCTGTCACGGCCCACAAACACTCCTGAAATACTTTGTGTACAGAATAACACCAATGCTTGATGGCCAATGCGTGATTAGCTCATGCCTCAAGATCCGGGAGATCGCTCCAAGAGACGATGGTGCAAATGGTGCTCTCAATGTGAGACACAACGATCGCCGATGAAATCATCAAACGACATCGCCTCTTTGCCGTTGAAGAGAAAACAAGAATCCAGATCGATGGAGACACATGTCAGTTGGAGGGAGATTGTTAGGTGACGGTGCTAAGGTCCTTGTCTGGAGTCAACGGTTGATACCACCTCGCGAAACAGAGATGGTCTCTAGATCTTGGCGGAGCTTCAGGTATCATCCGCCTTCTCTCCACCCTGTCATATTCACGGACCCGTAGGCGGAACAGTATGATTCGCGGTATGAGGCTCGACAAGAGAAGTGACACTGTAATACAGACGACTCGTCAAGAACCAGGCAGCACTCGCAGCCAGAGCCAATGCCACAGTCATGAACATGAGCATGTAAGACCGCATCTGAAACGCTTCGTCTGCTTCCATCTTCATGAGCTTCTTCTGCTTGCTGTGATAGTGCCAGCGGCCATGGGCATCATGATCCCTATGGCCAATGTGTTGGTATGGCTGCAGGAACCATCGGGGTACCCATTTCGCTTGCGAGTTACCGGTACCGTAGAAGTCGTTGCGGCTAGCAGTATGGCGAAAGTCGACCAGGAGGAGTGAGAAGAGGAAGACGGTTATGTTGACAGGCGTCATGATGAGCTAAAATACCTGTGTCAGTGTTATTGTGACGAGCAGAGAATACGACCTTGTTCGTTGATATCATGACTTTGAAACAAAGAGAACATAAGACAAGACAAGACGTTTCCAGTCTTCTTTGGCAATGACCACAGATAATGTCTGAGCGGGGAGTAACCTACGGAATAGAGAGTAGAGGGCTGGTTATTACCAGCATTCTCAGGCTGGGGACCAAATTTGGCCATGATGGGACAATGAATATGGTAGTGTACTATGACGAGTTTTGGGGGATTTCTGGCGGTGGATGTGAGTTCAAGTTTATAGCAAACACATGTCCCAAACACTTCGTTTCTAGGTCGTTGTTGGTATTTGATTCCTGGGCCCACCTGATCAAGAGAATCAGACTCAGACAAAGAGCTTATGAATTGGTTGTGGCTCACTTACGTAGCCGCCCTAGTGAGGTCATCGCGTGGAGGTTGCTAGCTAATCGATGCCCGCAGGATTCCCGAAGCTCCCGATCACCAACGTCAATCATCATTGTTAAGTAATTATTCCTGTAATTGTTGCGGGGAGGCTCTACTTTGGATCGAGAAAAAGACTTTTCTTTTTCTTTTTCGTCAGTTCAAACCCCAACAAATGAGCTTTTCGTACGATTCGCATGTACCATCTGAGCCATATAACATGTTGTCCAGCCTCCAGCAGAATCATCCTCAGTCCTTCTGCCAAGCCACCATCTCAAATCATTCAGCCTCATCGTGATACGACGTATGCGGCGTCGATCATTCCAGCCCAAGCTCCAAGTCTAGGTCCCGGTAGGATTCGGCCAGGCACAATCTCCAATCTTCGCCTCAAGGCGGGAAATGGTTATTCAAGTTTCAATAGGGATATCTCATTACAACGGAGGTGACATGGCGCTTACAAGCAGCCCATACATTACAACCCCCCTCTTTTAGCCTGATACCCAGCCAGCCATTGATTTTCCAGAGCGCCGTTTGCCCATGAATCCCACGCCTACCGGTGCCTATGCATATCAACGCCTTCTTGCCTGATCCCTCATGTGTCCCCTTTCAGCGCGCATTGTGAATGTCGAGGACAAGGATGTCCTGAGCACCAATTCGGGTCAACTCGTCCATAACCAGAGCAATCTTCTTCTTCTCGACCATGGAGCTGACTGCAACCCAGCCCTCCTCGTCCAGGGTAGTAACTGTCGCTGAGCGCTTCCCAGGAGTAACCTTGGTTGCCTCAGCCAGACGGCTTCGCTCGACATTATATTGGCACAGGACGTAGCTCTTGGCGGTGATAACACCACGGATACGCGAGGTGATGAGGTCGATAAGTTCGGGGTTGGATGGCGACTTTGACTTGATGAGCACGGCGGTAGAGTCGACAACAGTGTCAATGGCCTTGAGCCCAGCAGCTCGCATGGTCTCTCCAGATTCTAGACGTTGATCGTTAGTTATGGTCCGTCACGATCGGTGAAGCAGGCCTCGAGTATTCCACATACCAACAAGGTCGACAATGCCCTCAGCAACGCCAAGAGCACATGCTGCCTCGACACTTCCACTCAACTCAACAATCTTGGTGCGCATCTTGCGAGGCGAAAGCTCGCCCTGTACATTCTCGCCCTGCTCAAGCTTCAGGAAATAGTCGGCAGCCAGGTTGACGAAGCTCGTCCCAATCGTCTTTCCAATGAGATCCTCGGGGGTCTTGTACTGGCCCTTCTCGGGGACCTGGACCTGAAGCTTGCAGCTGCCGAAGCCCAATTCCATAACCATATCAGAGCCAGCAACCTTATCGTCGGATGACGACAGATCAACAGAGCTGCGTCGCAAGTGATTATAGGCACGGACTGAGGCATCATGCTCCTGGACTTGGTCCCATCCGGTGATACCGAGGTCGCAACGACCCTCGCCAACGAAGGTGGGAATGTCGGCGGCGGGGAGGAAAATCAGGGCAATAGGGAGATTCTTGACAAGAGCGATATCGAGACGGTTCTCACGACGGAATTGGACGTCGGCGCCCTCGAGGAGGTTCAGTGTGGCAGCATTGAGGCGGCCCTCTGTGATGAATGAGCATAAGAATGTGGATAGGAAGGATATGGGACGACTCACTCTTGGGCACAGCAAAAAGAAGACGGCCTTCGAGACTGGAGGGGATTTTGAATCAGCGACCACATAGTGAAGGTGGGATTGAGGGACGATTTTGACGGTGCGAAGGTAGCATCGGGGCGGACCAACCTGTTGACGAGATCCATGGCTGGCTACAGAAGTGCTGCAATGCAATTCTTCTTCCCTTGGACTAGGTATAGGTAGTTTGAATTAGGTAAATCACACAGCAAGGCAAGGCAGTCGGGGAATATATTATTGTCTGTGGTGACTGCTAATGACTCCGACTGCGGGGCTTCAAGACGATGGCGGGGCTTCGTGTGTTTGACTGTGGCACCAGCATGCATCATTTCATACGCCGGGGCATTGTGATTGGGGCTCTGGTCAGGTACCTCATAACCAAATCAACACTTGCACAGACCGACCATCGGGGGAAAGATGTTGACAGGTCCACCAATTAGGAGACACGCAGATAACACGGTGCTGAATGGAGTCATACATCCACCCACTGCATGTGGATGTTTTCTGAAGTCCATATCCAATATTGAGCATTTCAAGTTACGAATCGAGGCCTTTGTTTTCAGAACATGCTGAAGCAATGTGTACCCGAAAATGTATTTATTGAAAACATGAGACTTTCAATTGCCTTTGCCAATCAAACTTAGCCTGTTGGTAACCGCAATGCCTTTCTGTAATCACTTCCCAATTGGGCTCTTGTAAATGTTTTGTCGTTACAATTGACCAACAACAAAATGTCTTGTGCACTGGATTTGTACCGTGTATCATGCGGTTGAGACTGCATCCGAACTTAGACCGGATCGGCAGCAACCAGACGAACAATAGGCGGTCGAGCCGTTATCAGGCGAGACACAAGAAATTGTAAGCGTTGAACGAAGCCTTTGATCAAGACGTTGCGGGTCCGAGGGCAAGGAATTAATCAAGGTAGTTTCCCCATCTGGTAGAGAGTCTGGAAAGAAAGCGAAGCAACCCCAACGCGATTACTTATTACACGGTGATGCAGTCATGTCATTCAGCGAGCAATGTGGCTGGCTGTGGTGCTGACCGAGACAACATTTTCCGAGCAACTTGAATAAGATGGTGTGCTCGCTCAGCATGTGTTACATTAGGTACTGTCTGTGATTGTGGTATCATGTGGCTTGCGTTCATTCATATGCACCTTTGTTTTCCTCGCCTTCGCGGATGTTTGCCCGTCCATTCACCTTTGTGTTACACTCTCTAGGAGGTGTGCTACCCAGGTCCTTTTTCCTGTCATGTTTCTTTTTTCCGTCTCTTTGCTGACGCCTACTTGATAAACCCCGATGGCCCAGTCCTTGTCGAGTCTCAGTCAAGGTCTCAGTCAAGGTCTCAACCGCAACAAAGTCTTTGTCCAGTTCAGCCCAGCTCACTCAGCCCAGTCCAGAGCTGAGGAGTCACAGATCTTGGCTTCTCTCGCTCGCTAAGCTGCCTCAGCTACCGGTTGGTTCGGTCCAAGCCCCCTATGACATTTCTGTCTAATTCTCGGGGGCGCCTAGATATGCTATACCATACCTTAACCACTGCGTCGGGATAGAACTGAAATTATCGTGGAGATCAGAGTTCATGAGCTTGGGACCATTACGGCAATAAGTCCTGGGATAACGGAGCCGAGTCAGGGAATCGAAACCCTTTTAGCGCTCCCGGGCCGCGCCACTTGGGAGCTAAAACTCCAGCTCCACCTCAAACTTTCCATCAATTTACACTTTACCTTCAGCCGGGCTTCTGGGTTCTCCACCTGCCGCCGCCCGCGCGACGTCGACGATCCAGCCCTTAAGGCACCTAACTGACTTTGCTTTGCTTTGCTTTGCTTTGCTTCACTTACATCCTTCCTACCTTACCTCACATTGTATCGTCCGCCTCTCCTTTTGGTGGCTTCGCCTCCTGGCGCTTCTTCTCCCCTCAAGACCGGCATCTGGTCTCGTCTTGTTTCGCTTCTCTTCGCTCTTTGGCTCAGGACGAACTCCAAGGGGATTTCCGCGCAACGCAACGCAACAATTGTCGGAGCATATGCTCTTATAGCTCGCCCAGTCCGCACAGATTCTCCTCTTCGCTTCGTCCTCCACAGATCATCCATCCTCTACGGATACCTACCTCCCCAACCTTTTTATTCCTTCTTATATTATATCCATACGTAGACCTGCACTCAGCACCAACTCTCGATAACCTTATCATCGATCGCAAAACGCAATGAATTCCGCCTATCACCCGCCCGACATGTCGCAGCGAATCCCTGGCCCTGCCTATTCTTCCAGTGCACCACCACCACCGATTCATACCTACCAACAACACCAGCATCCTCCTCCGCCTCTACCGCCCCCGACTCAACATCACCACTCGTCTCATCCTCCCCTGCCTCCTCCGCCGTCAGCTCCACATCCTCACCACCAACATCCACCTCCGCCGCCACCTTCCCACTCGCTATCTTCGCATCAACACCATGGCCAACCACCCCACCACCAGCCTCAACTCCCACCATATGCCCCGGCTCCATATCAACAGCCTCAGCCGAGTCAATACCCGCGGCCCCATCCGCACCAGCAACACGTCCCTCCTCCTTCGCAACATGATGATCATCCTCCCCCGCCTTCCTCGGGCCCATCGCCCACCGACCATCAGAAAGATTCCGAACACGTTCCCCCATCCTACTCCAAAATTGAAGAAGGATCAGGCTGGAAGTACAGGTTTGTGGCCAAGGCGGATCCTTCAAACTTCCTTCTCGACCCCGCTGAAACGATTCCATAGTCTCGATGTGAAGCAACAACCCGTGCGTGCGCGCATGTGTGGATTTGGCGATAAGGTCTGTTTGTTTCGTTGCCTGTGAGCCCTGATCATATGTCTCACAGTTCTGATTTAGGATCGTCGTCCAATCACGCCGCCGCCATGTGTTCGTCTTGTCATAATCAATACCGAGACGGGTAAAGAGGTTGACTACAAGTACGTTGATGCAGTCGCGAGAGAGAGAGAAAAGGGGCATATTGGATTGTGCTAATACATAATGTGTAGTACCCTAGACCACGCCATGTTTGTGTTATCGGTCGATCTGTGGAATCATGACGGTACCAAAGAAGTCAACCTGGTGCGGTCCTCAACTGGGACTGGCGCTATGGCATCCTCAAGTACCTACACTTATTCGTCCTTAGAACCAGGAACCCCTTCGTACCAGCAACAATCTCTGCCCCCGAGCCGCGAGTCTGGATATGGGCAATCGCAAGGGATGAACTATGGGCAGGATTATCCCCCACCGGTGCAGCAGAGCTATGGTCAAGGTTGGTCGAAACAAGGAGGAACAACAAGCGAGAACAAATCCATGTCTGACACAAGAGTAGCACCGTCGTACCCGCCGAGCAGTTCCTACGGTCCGCCCCAACAATATTACCCGCGACATAGCGGTTACAGTGCCGAACCTTCGGCTCCTCCGCCAGGTGCCCCTTTCCGTAATGGATATGGACAGGATCAAAATGCGCTTACTCGGATGGCAGTAGTGGGAGGTCAACCCCAAGGGATGTTTACGAGAAACTTGATTGGCAGTTTGGCCGCAAGCGCATTCCGCCTCGAGGACACTGAAGGACAATCAGGTATCTGGTTTGTCCTCCAAGACCTCAGCGTTCGTACAGAAGGGACCTTTCGGTAAGGGCAACTGGATTTGGTCTGCGCCGTGGCTTGCAATTGCTGACGCTGAAGTTGCAGATTAAGGTTCTCCTTCGTCAACGTTGGACGCCCCGGAGGGCAGGGAGCAAACGTAAACCAAGGCCGAGCGCCAATCCTGTCGTCTTGCTACAGCGAGAGTTTCCACGTGTACTCGGCCAAGAAGTTCCCCGGCGTGTGTGAAAGTACACCATTGAGCAAGAAATTTGCAAACCAAGGCATCAAGATCCCGATCCGTAAGGACGCCAACATCAAGGGCGAAGGTGATGAAGAGATGTACGATCAGAACTGAAGAATCTGCGTGAACCATATCACCAAGGAAATATCCATGATTATTTGGCCATGTCAGAGTTAGGGTTTGGAAATTTGGCTATTCAGATAGTTGCAATCCGCAGGAGAATGAATAGCTGGCGCGCACAAAAGGCAATCGGCACGGGGAACCAGGCCAAATCATGGCTATCCTTTGTACAAGGCTCCAAAATATGTCGCCAAAATGTATGGAGTTACTGCCCTTGTCAGACAAGGCGTCATGTCATTGAATACTGAGTATAGATGCCGGTGTTGGTGTTTTGGAATTTGAGTCAATTTCTGATACTCCGTACTTTGTGCTTTTGTCCTAACGTTAGCTTGCAATGCAGTGTGCCGGTGGTGCTGCAGTTAGACACATCTAAAGGGCCAATAAAGAGTGTGAAGCCAAGTGCGGGATCGACAGGGCAAAGGGTTCCCTAGCTCGAGAGCAGAAGATGACAGTATCATGGCCGAACCAGGGGTTCAAGGAGTCAACGTCATCGCACTTAGACAAGCTTAGCCGCCAAATTCAGGGTCTTGTGTCGGATTAGCATGGGACAACCCTGATGGAATCTAGCTGTGTACAGTACAAGCTACTGGCTACAAGCCACAAACAGCAGCATCCCTTGCACATTTCGAGATTTTGAGGTCATGAGGCTTGTGATTGAATGCCTTTTCGAGCAGGTTCTCCCGGGCTTCTTCCATAGCTATGAGCCACCAAGCCAGACCAGCCCGTCGTGTCGGGGCACGCCAGTACAGAAACGGCTATGGATAATTGCTGGTGCCGGCACGCAAGAATATGAGAGTTTACGCCTTATGCGGGAGCGAGCGCCGCTGGGAACTCGGAGCCCGGCGAGAGCGAAGACGATCTACAGATCTCTGATGGATAGATTCTCTTGGCGACGAGAGGCCATTCGGCCAACTCAGTTTCTACTTGACCGAACAGCGAGGCCTTGAAAGGGGAGAATCTCATGGAAGACTCATGTTGTCATGACAGACATGAGTCGCATACCTGACGTGGTAGGCGCACAACTCACGGAGAATTTCGATGTTCTCGTTTGAAGACCGACTAAGGAACTTATCTTTCACTAGGTACGGAGTACCCTATGCGCTTTTGCAACTATAGGTTGGCTCGATATACGATATTCACCCTTTCGGTCCCTGAGTGAGGTCAACTTCCTCACTGCTCGGCTGCAATTTATGGCTGAGACCCTGGCATCAAGTAACCCCAGCTCTCAGCATCGAACCCCTCACGGGCCTCATAAAAGCTTGTATTGACTTCGTATATCGGAAGTACCTTGCCAAGATCTGGGGCAGCACGAGGCCATCAAAATTCATTACGCAACCAATTTCTATGACTGGACATGGCCTCTTAGTGCCATGACCAAGTGGAACTGGCGCACGGGTACTTGCGTCTACTTGTCCTAGACTTGGGCGAGCTTTAACTGAGCCTCATTCTTCAAATGGACAAGGAAGGGTTGAGAGGAGGACAGCGCTTTTCAACTAGAGGTTGAAAGAGAGAGTTCGATAATTTGACTCAAGAATAGACTCCAAGGTAGTGCAAAAGAAGCACTTTCAGCTACAACGCCCAGCTGAAGAGATCTCGCCCTACAGCTCACAACTCATTAGCCCAGGTTCGGGGCAGCCTAGTGAGCACAAGGCCAGTCTAGGCCATATACTCTATGGCTGGGCGCAGTGGTTCGGTGGGTGTGAAGGGGAGGGAAAAGGCCGCAGCGCCTGGGAACCTATCGAATTTTTTTCCCTCTTGCCCCTGTTTAGTTGATCATGGGAACACTTCCAGGGCAGGGGAAAATTTGGTAGCAAGTTACAACATCAATCACGAGGACTTGGCATTGGGTTAAAAGCTGTCACCACCGCCTCCAGCTAAATCTTCTTCACTCAAACAGACTTTTCTCTCCATCATTACAATTCCTTAGGGACGTCCTCCTGAGCGTTTGACTTAGCAACTTCTCAGTCTACTCAACAACTCCTCGACAGTCATTAGTTTCGTTGTTAGTCACACAAGAACACTGCAACCAGCTACCTACATTACCTACCTTACACAACCACTACCCCTCAACAAACAACAGCACTCTCTCCTCCAAACTCACACATCTTTCACAATGCTCTCCTCTCACGGTCGAGGCGGTGCTGGCAACATGGCCGACTCAACCCACACTGAGAAGACAGATCTCAGCAAGCTCCAGACTCCCGTCCTCAAGGGCTCTGTTGTCACCACCGGCCGTGGTGGTACAGGCAATATGGCCAAGAACGATGATCCTCGCGAAACCCGCAAGCGTCAGGACGTTGAAGCGTAAGTTTTTCATTCCTCCTGCCACTCAACATCGGGGATCATTCTCTTTGGAATCGTTGCTGACCCGAGACAAAAGTATCCCTCGACGCCCCTCATCTGGTGCTCAGCATTCTGGCCGTGGTGGCGCGGGCAACGTCTTCAAGGACAAGGAGACAGAGTTAACGCGCAAGCCTAGCAACGACGAAGCTATCACTGACGAGGAGGAGCCCAAGTCTGCCAACTCACCTACTGCTACTGGCGAGTCGTTGGCTCAGAAGGGCAAGAACTGGCTTTTTGGCAAGAAGGCATAGGACTTGAGAGACTTTCAGGTGTTTCACCATGCTCAATTATAGGCATGAGAGATTTCACGTTCTACTTCTATTGGGTTCAATTATTTTACAGTACAGCTCGGTGTTTTTGGCGCCTTTGACATTGAATCTTGAGCAGGGGTTCTGGCTACTAGGTAGACAATTTTATGAAGGACGGGTCAACTTACAAGACAAAGGTGAAAAGGAGGAAAGCAAAAGTCAAGATACCATTGGTTCCCATGAATTAAATAATCTACAAACAAAGTTTTATCTTACTCAGAACCTTGGTCATGCTGTTTTACTATGTTACAATTTTTTCGTGTCTACTGGTATTCTTCACAATGCTTTTTCTGATGCCCCCCCCCACCCTTATTTACTTTGATGTTCAGCCCAGCATAGACAGACGGTATCTCAAAATACGCCTCCAACACAGCACACAGTAAGTTTTTCCCGTTAGTTCTTCTTGGTTAAACGGTGAATCTCCTCGAAGTAGTGCTTGAGATGATCAGGGTTTACGCCAGGTGTAATTCCTGCCTTTGGTCAGCCCCTCGTCCAGTTCAGTATTGTGACGCAAACTTACCGTGGCCAAGGTTGGCGATCCAGCCCTTGTTTCCAACCCAGAAGCCCTCGACCATCTCCTCGACGGCCTTGGTGATAGCCTCCTTGGTGCCATACAGTACCCCTGGGTCAGCATTGCCCTGGAACACAATGTTGCGGTCGCCTCGGATCTTGACGGCCTCCTTGGGATCATGCAACCAGTCCATACCAACCACATTATAACCCAGGTTGCAGGCAGAGTCGAGTGCGTACCAAGCACCCTTGGGGAACACGGTCATGGGAACCTTCTCCAAGCCGAGGCTCTGTAGCTTGGCGGGAAGCTTCTCGGCGATTTGCTTCAAGTAGGGCTCAGAGAATTGACGGTAAGAAGAAGGGCCGAGCTCTCCTGCCCAGGAGTCAAAGACCATCACTAGCTATAAAGTTTACAAGTCAGTCATATATGGTACAGTTCTAGAGGAGAGCATTCTATACCTGAGCACCAGCCTTGACTTGAAGTGCCAGATGATCCACGCAGATATCGGCGATCTTGGCCAAAAGCTTCTTCGACTCCTCAGGATACTTGTAGATCCATGTCTTGACCTGCGCAAACAGCTTGGTGCCACCACCCTCGACCATGTAGCAGAACAGCGTCCAGGGAGCGCCGCAGAAGCCAATCAAGGGCACCTGTCCCTCAAGCTTCTTGCGTGTGAGTGTGATGGCGTCGTACACGTAGCCGAGTTCAGCAGCAACATCGACGTTCTTAGCGAGCACCTGGCCGTACTGTCCGTCGTCGGGGTTCTGGAGCGGACTCGGGAAATGAGGGCCCTTCTTCTCAACCATCTCAACAATCATACCCATTGCCTGGGGGATGACAAGAATGTCGGAGAAGATAATGGCGGCATCGATGAGACCTGAGAATCGGCGGACAGGCTGGAGGGTGATTTCAGTTGCGACTTCAGGGTCGCGGCAGCATTCGAAGAAGTCTCGGTTACCCTTGGCTTCGTGATATTCCGGTAGGTAGCGGCCGGCTATCAATTGATCAGGTCAGTCTTGTATGCTTATACCCGTATGCCAAGATGTCTTCTCACCTTGTCGCATCACCCACATAGGAGGGCGTTCAACGGTCTGGCCTAAGTTGCAACACAGCAAGTCTCAGCACAATTCTCTCGCATGATTCTCACAACTGAGGCTTGGACGACCCACCCCATGCTGCGCGAAGCAACAGGTCGTTCTTGAGAGGCGCGAAATCCTGCGACATTCTATGTGCTGTTCAAATTATAGTCAAGTCAAATTGGTACAGCAGCTCAGGAATAATTGCAAGTTACAGATTGTGGCTTTTAAAAGAAGTTCCAGTTAAATAAACTACAAATGCCCCGCCGAGGACTTGCCCATAGGTATGGAATCATACCTAGGTAGTGGAGGGGTAGGTATGTACAGTTGCGGCCGAGCTACTGAGCACGGACAAGGCTGATTCCAAATGAACCAACCAGGCCCACCTCTATGCAAGCTTAAGTACCTCACCAATCGGCGCTCGGAACTTTGGACGGACCGACACGCTGTCATCACAATGCTGCTAGGCACTCCAGCGCGTGTTGAGAGCTGCATTCAAGATCCATCTATACGAAGCTATACCCACAACCTCGATCTTCAATACTGTCTCCCTAGAATCGGTCTCACCTGGAAAAGGCTGACTTGAGTGACCCATCTTCATCCGCGACAATGCCTTCCGAGCGCGAGCTTCAGATCAACCCCATCGTCCCCGAGTCTGTGGTCCATAACACAAAGGTTCGCTCCCTCGCTCTTGATGAAGGTTGCTATCAATAGTGATCATTATCCACGCTCAAGGTTCCTGCGAGCTGACCATCTATACAGGCTCTCTCCAACCTCCACAGCCTTACTGCGTCACTTTTTGGAGTCAGCGCCGGTGTCCTCGGTCTCGAATCGTATTACGGTTTCCTCGTCTACATCATCTTCTCTTGCATCACTGCACTCCTCTTTTACGCCCTCAAGGTTGCTCCGGAATCACTCCCCAAAGGCCACGCTCCTCTCGATCCTTCTCGTTATTATCGTGGCTTGTTCGAGTTCTGGTTCGGTGGCATATTCAATGGCATCTCGGGCTTTGTCCTAACTTGGACGTTGTTTTATGGCTTGGTTCGGGCCTAGAAATAAAGTATCATATATCGCATACGAATGGCGTTTCTGGGGTTATAATCAAAGATATTCGGGAAGAATTATGACTTAAACAAAGCAACTAGTATTTAAAAAGCATCACCCAGAGGGTAAAACTAGAGGCGTCAGAATTCTACTCCAAAAACGTCAAAAGTTCAATCAACAATCTCAACAACTTTTCCAACAAATCCTTCTAGTCCAGATTTATCCTGACTTCCTCCTTCTAATAGTATGACTCGTGAACCCATCTCAATCCATTCACGGTGATGGATAAGCTCCAAGCTCATCTCCACCCCGCCTCTCGTCGCATCGGTTTTCTCCTTCTCAGTATTCGTTTCGAGGTCGTCGTTGAGGTCGAATATTTCCTCAATTTCGTCTGCTTCTCTTGCTCCTGCTTCCCATCCTAGGCCTTGACGCGATATCTGACGTATGCGCGCCACCGTCCGAATACTGGCGATGTAGATGTTCACGAAAGAGCCGATTGCAAGGACCTGGGTATCTACGTCGTCAAAGGCCGCCGTAAAGCCGCTCGCAGCTTGCAACTTCAGCCCCGTGTCCGCCATGTGTTTCGACGCTATCGCCAAGATCATGCCACGTCGAATACGGGGGGGCTCAATGGGAATATTGGAGTCCGTATTACCGTTCTGGGAACGGTGCGAGAGTGATTGGATGACGAGGCCAATTGATCCGGCTTGTCCAGATTCAAGAGTCAGAACAGGGAGTCTCAAGTTACGTATGCTCACAACCTGAGCATCATGCCACTCCCCTGGAGTCGCTGATGCGGAGACGGCATTTTTCATGGCGATGCGGGCCAACTCTGCAGAAGAAGGGTGCGAAATCGAGAGTCCGTAGCTACCAGGAGATTGCCTATCCTCCGGTGTTAAGTCGCGAGCTTCGTCATCATGTGGTGGGAAAGGCCCAATAACAATCTTGTCCCCGACAGAGAGTCGTCCAAACCTGAGATAGCCTGACACGACAATACCTGGGTCTGCTTGCTTTCCCAAGGCACCTGTTATGTTGCTGTACGACGTTGGCAGAGAAAAGGTATCGTCGATATGGAATAGGCATTTCGGCTGCTCTGGGTTCAACGCCATCCCAAAATAATCACGAGCGGTCGGTGTCGGCGGCAATGGCAGGTTCTCCAAAAGTGCATGCAGAAGGCCAATACCACTTCCTCTTACTGCACTTGTGAATGCAATTGGAACCACCTCGGTTAAGTTGCCACTCTCCGAGATCCCCTTGAGTAGGTCTTTGACCATGGCCGAGTCATCATCAGGTACTCGGTCTAAGTCCCTCCATACCTTCTGGTCAGGCCGAAGGATTTTGGGTATACGCCCAGCTTCTTTGACAGCTGACAAGATCTTGTTTGTGGTTCTATGCGCGCTTGTCTTGGAAGCGAGATCCATTTTGGTGATGACAACTGCCAAAGGGATATCCAGTTTGAGTGATAATGTAAGGTGGGCTTTGACAAGATCAGCTCCCACTGATGTGACTCCCAGAACATCCTGTGTTGAGGATGTCACCCCATGTCCTTTGGTGGCTGTATCTCCATCATCTACAGCCAAACACAAGATGATCCAATGAGGTGCCCAGTTCATCAGTCCACGAAGAACTGTCCGGCGATATCTTGGATGGCCAGCAGAGTCGGAAACAAACACTAAGCGACCACCCTCGGAACAGTCATGTATATCGACCCAAGACTCGATGTTCCCATGACTGTAGTTGAGAATCGACTGGTCTTTGTATCCGATGAGTTCCTGAGCTATTGAACTGGTAACCCCCGTGGCCACTTCGTGTCTATGCTTGAGCAAACTAAGTCGACTGTTGCCACGCCCGTTGTCTAGTGTCCCGGTTGATAGGGTCCCCAAAAGACTTGATTTACCTGATGTGGTAGGACCAGTGAAAGTGACTCTTAACTGTGGTGTTGTAGAACTACCACGGCTGGGTACGGCAGCGCTCTCTGTAATAGCCTGCTCATTCTTGTGAGAACTATTGGTTCCATTTTTCTCATCTAGGAAACCAAAGTTGGGCTTGACAAGTGCTTCGGCAACCCAGAGTTTTCCGTTTCTAATAATTTGATGCGGTGAGGGAACAAAACTGTCGACCAACTCGGTCGACTCGACCCACTCGCAGTCGCCAACAATGACTCTCCGATGAACTTCGACAGAACAACCTAAGCTTGCGGCCATTACTCTCAAAGTTGTGAGACTCTCTTCCATCTCATCTTTGGTGAGGCCAACAAGAGTGCCATCATCAGCGACACCGATCTCATACAAGGCTCCTCTTGATTCCTCCAA